CAGGAGTTTAAAAAGCTGCTAAAAGGAATTTTAAAGGATTTTTATGTTTTTTTAGTGTAATTTAAACTAAAAAAAGTTTGTTTCTTTGCAAAATAAATTCAGAGTTTTAATTTTGTCATTAACTTAGAAGTTATCGTTAGAGCTAAATCATATTTGTTGGGGAGGAACAATCACAGAGTTGAGAAATTGGGTGTTTTTTTGATAATGTGACCACAAAATTTCAGATTTATAAAATTTCTAAGGATTTAAATTTTTGATGGTTTACTGAATATTAATAAACTAAGCACTTGCTGCCACATTAAATAAAAAATAAATTAGTTTTGGATTTTACTGAATTGGGAACGACCTATTAATGAATTTTGAGATAATCACCCTTTTACCAACATCATTTGTACAAAAGTCGCACTACGACGGTATCGCAAATTTTTATGATACAAAAAACAGATTTCTATTCTTGCTTTTTGCTGTGTAGATTGGTAAAGTACAGAACATTCAACTTTGTGCAAAAGTAAGCGGCGTATGACAAACGAACAATAATTGTTCTCTTGATTTATGTATATTTTTAATTTTTTGTATTTGTATTTTTTACAATTTTATTATTTTTTGTTACATTTCTTTTTATAAATATTCAACTAATGTTAACTAATGTTAACATAAGTTAAATATGATATTGTTTTTATTAGATATTTTATTTTTATTAAATATTTCTATTTCCTGTTTTTTTTTTAACTAAAAATTACACATATATTAAAATCTACCGAAATTTTATCATCATCTACCGAAAATTTCCAAAGAATCTACCGATAAAATGTTCGAAGAGGTTGGCAACACTGAGTGTACAACAACGACGTGCTTAATTTTCAACACCCCAATACTTCAGGCATTACACTTGTTTTTCAAAATAATAATTTTCACTGCCAATAACTCTTGTAAAAATTTAATAGGTACCTTTGTGGCTTGTAATCTCTTGAAATGTCACACCCTGATAAAAACGATTGATTTGCTCCTTTTGCACGACAATTTGCATTAAACCTAATCCAATAGGCCAATATACGTTCGGTATGCGTTAAATCAGAAAACTCATTAACCAGGGATGTTTTACACTTGCATTTTATAAAGACGTGTAGTGACTGAAAATGTTGACAAATTTTTTTCAGAACCTTAAAACCATTCCAAAACATTTCAAGACGACTTTAGTTTGCTGGATTATCCTACGTGAGTACATGACGCCACTCATTATCCTGAGTTTTTCTTAAATACGTGCTACTCGATTTGATACAAATACGTTTAAAAAACTTGATGATTTTCATAAACTGACTTTAAATAAACACAAGCGCCATATGCACGTGTGAAAGCATCTGAAAATCCATGAATTTTTATATACAATATCAACACGAAATTATAAGTTGATCGTACCACGTCAACTAAGCAGACCACAATTCCTGCATACTCATGTTTTCCGTTTACCCTACTTTCTCTACCGCTTGCAGTTTTGCTCGAAGAGCGAACGAAGCCTTCTGGTAGCTTCCCACATATACGAGCAATTTTTAGCGTTTGTCGCAATTTGCATGTGTGTTTCCATGTGTACGGAAATGTCCGGTAAACCTATATAATATTATATTTACATAGTTTTTCCCTACTTGGTCACATACCTAATGATAAAACATTATAATACAATAGTTATATACAGTGATTGATTTAAAAACTTATTATTAATTTTAAATTAAAGCTAGAATTTAAGGCTCAACGCCCACATCCGAATATTTGCTCGCCGCGAATCATGTGCCATACCTGACGAACGTTTTTGTTGTTCGCGTTGCCAGCAATCACAGTCGCAATTTTTAGCGTTTTTTGCAGTTTTCAGTCTTTCTCAGTCTTTCCATGCATTCTTAAGTTGTGTCGAAATGTCCTGTATGTATACAGGGTGTTTCATAATATATGCGCAGGACTTCAGGATGTGATAGCTCATCCAAAAAGATGAAAACAGTCGCTATTAAGTTACGCTCTAAAATGCACAATTTTCGAGATACAGGGTGTTAAAATTTTAGAAAAAAATTCGTTTTTTTCGAATATCTCCGGAACCATTTATCGTACAAAAAACAGCTTTTGTAAGCATTTTCTACTCAAAATAAGCTATGTTTTGTGCTAGAAAAAAATTTTTTCCCCTCATAATTGATGGAGATTTTGAAGGGGTAGCGGGTGTTTTTCTCCTCAACTTCTACGCCCTTGAAAAAAGTACGGTTTTGAGAGGGCCATTCGAACCGCCAATGTTTTCTACATAAAAAAGGTACTCCTGGTCTTAAGCTCTAAAGTTGACCGTTTTCGAGAAAAATCAACTTTTATGTTTAAAAACATGGTCAATTTAAAAAAAAAATATTTTTTTTTACTAATTAAACAAAATTTATTTTAACGTTAGGACAAGTAACAAAACCAAACCATAATTGCAAAATAAAAAATGATTTAAAAGTTGTCTTTGCTTAATTCTCCAAACCGTAAAGGTAACGCATTTCGCACATTTCAGCATTTGAGTAAAAAATCGTTTTTTATTTTTTTTTAATTTTGCAATTATCGTTTGGTTTTGTTACTTTTTCTAACGTTAAAATAAATTCTGTTTAATTAGTAATAAATTTTTTTTTCCAAATAATTGACCATGTTTTTAAACATAAAAGTTGATTTTTCTCGAAATCGGTCAACTTTAGAGCTTATGACCAAGAGTAACTTTTTTCTGTAGAAAACATTGGCGGTTCGAATGGGCCTCTCAAAACCGTACTTTTTTTAGGGGCGTTGAAGTTGAGGAGAAAAACACCCGCTACCCCTTCAAAATCTCCACCAATTATGAGTAAAAAAAAATTTTTTCTGGCACAAAACATAGCTTATTATGAGTAGAAAATGCTTACAAAAGCTGTTTTTGTACGATAAACGGTTCCAGAGATAATCTAAAAAAACGATTTTTTTTCTAAAATTTCAACACCCTGTATCTCGAAAATTGTGCATTTTAGAGGGTAAGTTAATAGCGACTTTTTTCATCTTTTTGGATGAGCTATCACATCCTGACATAATGTACTTAAAATGAAATAGTCAAAATTCTACTAATCACCAGCATTGTTTAATTAAAAAATAGTCGTATTTACTTTTAAATAGCAATTTTTTATTACTTAAATAGTTAAAGTTTGACTAATTTAAGATATGTCACCATATTTGACTGTGTCCAAGGGCGTCGCCAGAGAGGGGCAGGGGGGGCAGCTGCCCCCCCCCTAGGAGTTAACGCTCACAAGTCACCCTGCTAATTAAAACGATAAACTGAGTGTTGTGGAAATCCTTAAGGAAACTGAAGATTTTTTTCCTGAAATTAAGAAGGCTTTAAAGATTCTTGTTGCTTTACCTTGTACGACTGGTACAGTTGAAAGGTCATTCAGTAGCCTCAGGAGAATCAAAACCTGGTTGAGGAGCACCATGTTTGAAACTCGACTCAATGGCCTCGCAATGATGAGTGTACACAGGCAACACATTTTCAAAAACTTGGACGATTTCGTCAACAAATTGTGTAGTTATTTTGTTCGTTTTTTATTTTTTTTTATTAAAACTTTTCTTTTTATTTTTCTCTTGTTCTTTTATGCTGCCCCCCCTAGCTTACCGGCTGGCGACGCCCTTGACTGTGTCTATTAGTAAAAAGTAACTACCTAATTTCTTTAATCGTTTTTAATTCTTGCGGACAACAACGAATTATTGTCAAAGTTAACTGCATGTAGGATCCATGGGATAAATGACCCATAAAAACAAACAAAGATGGAAAAAGCTTAGCTCAAAACAGCAACACAAAAAAAAATATTTAAATTTAATATTATTAACACTATTTATTGACAGATATAACATGACTGCTTTTTCGCTATGACAATTAGTCAAATATGACTAAAAATTGGTCATTTTTGACTAATTCATTTTAAGAGAGTATATAATATACATTGTAAATCGGAAGGATCGCACCGAACTCGAGGACTGCATTCTACACATCAAAATAATAAAAAATCTCAAATTTTCTTATCCGATTCTTATTTGCTTTCAAGTTATACCAAAATTAAAAAAAAATCAAGTTATAGCGAAATTTAAAAAAATAAATTATTATCTAATGTTCTTAGAAAAAATATGGATACATAGTTTGTTTCCATAGTTAAACATATGGTTTACATTTAAAAGGCTTAAGTCTGTTTGTAACTGTTAGCTTCAGTGGTATTTTGTAATTTTCAATATATATATATATACATGGTAAATCGGAAGGATCGCACCGAACTCGAGGACTGCATTCTACACATCAAAATAATAAAAAATCTCAAATATTCTTATCCGATTCTTATTTGCTTTCAAGTTATACCAAAATTTAAAAAAAAATCAAGTTATAGCGAAATTTAAAAAAATAAATTATTATCTAATGTTCTTAGAAAAAATATGGATACATTGTTTGTTTCCATAGTTATACATATGGTTTACATTTAAAAGGCTTAAGTCTGTTTGTAACTGTCAGCTTCAGTGGTATTTTGTAATTTTCAAGTTAAATTTTTTTTTAAATGTCAAAAGTTTATTCAAATTTAGAGTAAGGTAAGTAGGGGTAATTGTGTTGTAGTTTTTGAATAGTTCAATATAAATTAGCTTTAAAGTTGTAAATATTGCAGGCAGAAAATTGCAAAAAATACGGTAGGTTTATACAAAAAGGTGACAATATAAAGAAAAAAAGTTATGGTGCTTTTTAAAAACATGTCACTATGTCACATTTGCCCCACCATTTGGGGCTAATGTGATAACTCATACTCCCATTGATGGATGGATCTAACACTCCGCAAAACGTACCGTGCGCAATTAACGAAACTATTAAATAGTGAAAATGACTTATTAGAAACGGAAAACCCTAATGTAGAAAAAATGCAAGTATTAATTGCACGTATAAAGGCAGTGCAGGTAAATTTAAGTGGTGTAAATGAATCATTTTAAAAACGTTACCTTACAACATGCGAATACAGTTTAACAAAATAAAAATAAACAATAACGCGGTCTCTAGAGCGAGTGTGTTTAACGATAAGCCTTCTACTACCGTGTCCGAGGTAGGCTTAAACAACGAAACTACAAAACAGACATTCGTGGACTATAACAAACAAATAACCAATTTATTGCAATTTATTAAAGTGGAAGTGGACTCTATCGAACAAGCTCAAGATGCTACGGGCAGTGATCAAAAAGAGAAACATTTTACGAGTAATTTTAACGAAAATAGGCGAAAAAAGTTCGAAAAAAATGAAACTTGCACCGCGGCCGGATTGTTTACAAGTGTAAAAGACTGTTGTTTATTTTGCAAATCCAAATCGCACCTAACCAAAGATTGTTGCGGTTCCCTGAGTATTAATGACAAAAAAGAAGTTCTAAAAAAGAACTCACGCTGTTTCCGATGCACAAAAGCAAACCATAGCTCGAAATTTTGTAGAGAAAAATACATTCGTTGTACCAAATGCAACGGCAGACATGTGTCGGTTATGTGTGATCCTAACTTTATAAAACCAAATAATAACCTTGATAACTCTACAAACTCTAATACAAGCGTTGCTAATAAAAATATAATTGGAAAAACGACAAATTTGTTAGCTAATGGCCGTATAGATAACGTTTATTTACAAACGGCATGTGCTTTTATAAAATCGAACAATATCGAGAAAGACGCATTTATTCGGGTAGTTGTGGACCTTCATAAAAGAGTGTGTATCCCGTAAATTAAATTTGACCGTGATCGGTACTCATAAAATTTCGATACAGCCCTTTGGTAGTACAAATCGTTCACCAGCTAGATTGTGTAATCGAGTCAAAGTAAATTTAAAAAGCCAATATTCGGACAATATTATATCGATTAACGCAATAGAGGTTCCGGAAATCTGTTTTGAGTCTTTAGAACCTCCATCTCTAAACGATCCTATAATTTACAACTTTTCAATGAATTATCAATTGGCGGATAATAACGCAGCTCATCGGCCTACAAATGGAATTACACTTTTAGTGGGCGCAGATAATTACTGGAAAATTATTACAGGGGAAACTCAGCGGCTTTCTGAAAAATTGACGGCTGTTAATTCGCAATTGGGATGGACTTTACATGGTCCGAGTAATAACGAAACTTACAACTACAATGTGAATTTCAGCCTAGCAACAGTGTTACAAGTGCATGCTGTTTGTGAAGATATTGACATTAAACATTTTTGGGACTTAGAAACGATCGGTATTAACGCGAGTGAAAAACAATCCGACAATTTTACCGAGAACTTTATTAGTGAACAAATAACGTTAAAAAACGGTCGTTATGAGGTTTCCCTCCCGTGGGAATCAAACAAAAAATTGGACTCTAATTTTTCGGGAGCATTAATGCAACTAAGATCCCTAACGGCTAAATTATGCAAAAACGGTAAGCTAAACGAGTATGATCGGGTCATGCGCGAATATTTAAAAAACGATTGCGCTGATCGTGTTCAGAAAAATACGACCAACGAACGGGTCTATTACATGCCACATCGACCAGTGTACCGTGACGACAAAGAAACGACAAAAGTGCGTATAGTGGTTAATGCGTCCTCGCATGCGCCTGGATTTCCCTCACTAAACGAACTATTATTATCGGGTGACAATTTAGTACCGGACATAATACGGATTTTAATGAACTTTAGAGTAGGTTCCGTAGGTTTAATTGCTGATATTGAAAAGGCGTTTCTGCAAATATCTCTTGCCGAAGAGGATCGCGATTCCCACCGATTCCTGTGGTACGATGACCCGATAAAAACAGGAATTACATGAACGTCTGAGTTGCCTCAATTACAATCGTATCGAATGAAACGTGTCACTTTTGGCGTGACGACGAGCCCCTTCCTGTTAGCTGCTACTCTACGCAAACATTTTTCCGAACAGCCAAAACATGAAAGGGAAATAGCTGAGATTTTATTGAAGTCATTTTACGTAGACGACCTGGTTGTAGCTGTCTCTTCGACAGAAGACTCAAACGCCATTTATGATCATGCTCACAAAATTTTCAACTCAGCAAACATGAATTTACGAAAATGGTGTTCGAACGATCCGAAAATGATGCAACGCTTTTCCAGTGATGAACAAGAATTGTTAGGCTTTGAAAACAAAAAGGTATTGGGGATTTTTTGGTACACAATTACCGATGAGTTAGCTGTTGATTTAAGTCAAATTGTAAAAGATCACAGCCTTGAATTGACAACAAAACGAAACGTATTGAAAACTATAGCTAGAATTTTCGACCCAATTGGTATACTAGGACAATTTACAGTAAGAGCCAAAATTTTATTACAAAACGTATGGAAGCAAAATTTAGATTGGGATGCAATTTTGCCCGAAGATCTAAAACCAGAGTGGCTAAAATGGTGTTCAGAGGTTTCGATACTTGCTCATTATACGATTCCTCGATGTTTACTAAGATGCTGCACGAACGAGGTTGAGTTGCACATTTTTTCAGACGCGAGCCCTCAAGCTTACGGTGCAGTAGCGTACATAAGGTGCTTAACGAATAACGAATGTAACCTTATACTGTCAAAAATAGAGTATCTCCAATCAATCAAAAGGGTAAAAAATCGTTAACTTTACCAAAATTAGAATTGACTGCAGCGTTGTGTGCAGCCAGATTACAAAGGTATATTTTGGAAAATTCATCGTTAAATGTGAAATACATTACGCTATAGTCTGATTCGAAGATAGCGTTGTATTGGATCAGAGGTAACCCTTTTAAATGGAAACCTTACGTGAAAAATCGAGTAACCGAAATACAAAAGGTGAGTCAGGGAGTTTGGAGAAATTTTCCAGGAAAAGAAAATCCTGCCGACCTGTTAACGAGAGGAGTTTCAGCCAAATTCTTATTAGAATCCTGCTTATGGCAGCAAGGTCCTACTTGGTTAAAAGCAAGTCCGGAAGAATGGCCTGAAGATGAGTACTACAACTTTTCAGAAACGTCCGAAGTTGTTACTTGTTTGGCGGAGACCAAAGAAATCGTAAATTCTAAACCCGAACCAATTTTTTCACTGGAACGGTTTAACAACCTGGGAAAAATACTTAGAGTTACAGCTTATGTAAAAAGACTATTTAACAACTTTAATTATGCAAAGGAAAGGCTAGATGGACAGCTAACAGTCAACGAAATAAATGCTGCTGAAAACTACTGGGTCAAGTTGGCACAACGTGACGAGTTTGCGGAAGAAATCAAAACGTTATCTGACAAGAAACCAATGAATTCGAAATCTTCGATTTTAACGCTAAACCCATTTCTAGATGACAACGAAATTTTAAGACTAGGAGGTCGATTGGAAGAAGTATCTTTACCTTATGAGTCCAGACATCCAATAATCCTGCCAAAAAAGTCGCCTTTTACCTACAAGGTTATCTGGAGAGCACATGCATTAACACGTCACTGTGGTGTTAACGCTACTCTAGCTTTGATTAGAGAAAGATTTTGGATTATACAAGGTAGACAGCGAATTAGATCGATACTTGGAAAATGTATAAAATGCAAACGTTTAAAGGGCAAACATGGCAACGAACCCTTCGCTCCCTTACAACGGGACAGAGTAACAATGGTAAATCCTTTTAAGGTAACTGGAGTAGATTTTGCCGGACCGTTATACATTTCAACTGAGAAGGATCGAAAGAGTAAGGCTTATATTATGCTTTTGACATGCGCAGTTATACGTGCGGTTCATTTGGAACTAGTTCCGGACCTTACTACAGAAAGTTGTATCAGAGGTCTACGCCGATTCATTGCACGACGAGGTGTACCGAATATTATTTACTCTGATAATGCCAAGACTTTTAAACGAACCTCGATCGAACTAAAGGATCTATCCGCTATTCTCAGAAGCAACGAAGTTCAAGATTTAGCTCGAAGCCAAAGAATTAAATGGCGCTTCATCGTGGAGAGAGCTTCATGGTGGGGAGGCTTTTGGGAGAGACTCGTAAGGACTGTTAAGAATGCGTTAAAATTTACATTGGGAAAGGCATCTGTTAATTACGACGAGTTGCAAACCATATTAACAGAAGTTGAAGCTACCGTCAATTCACGACCGTTAACCTATATTGACGATGACCCCTCGAACTTGTTGATTTTGTCGCCAGCTAAATTTTTAATTGGTCAAAAGGAAATTGGTTTACATAAGTCTAGATACAAAACTGCCTGAAGTTAATTGTAACGATATCTTAAAACAATGGAAGGATAGAGAATTTCTAATGAAAAAGTTCTGGAATCGATGGAGCTCAGATTATCTGCAACAGTTACGTTCTGCTCATCATACAAATCCAGTAAAATCCATTAGTTTCAATGTAGGAGATATAGCAATTCTTCATGACCAAAATTTACCAAGACTTCTATGGAAGATGGTGAAAGTTGTTGAAATTTATCGAGGAAGAGATGGTCGAGTAAGAGCATGCGAAATACAAACTAGCAAGGGAGATAGATTGCGACGACCTATTCAGCTTCTGTATCCATTAGAAGTTGATCATTCTCCGGCTGGGGAGGATGTAAAAATAGCGACCAGAGTGGGCGTGACTTAACAACAATAAGACGTCAAGAAGTTTGAGTATTATATTAGTATTGTTAAAAAGTGACATATTGTATTGTATCAATTTCATTAAAGGTGTTCTACGAATTGAGGGTTTTAATAAGGTATTAACAATGATCAAGTATTGTATTTTGAATACTGGCCACCGGATTGCTGCTATGTTTGACGATTTTATTACTGTATACAGTAATAAATAATTAATATTTACAATTACCCCGTTATCACACAATACCCGCATTAATCTTATGCTAATATGGCTTTTGTTTATGGCTTTATGGCTTTTTATACCGCAGCTGCTGTAGAAGAATTTTGGTGACGTTTTCCACGTGAGAGGGCTCCTGACAAAAACGTGTTTATTCGAGTTTTTAAGAAACTTTGTGAGACTTGTGCTTCCATGTGCTAAAATAACATCTGAAAAAGCTGATCGACAAACTTAAGAAGAAGTGGAAAGTATTTTATATCTAGTGGAACGACCAGCACCAGAAGAATCGCTACTCAATTTCACAATAACGGGTAATACACATACTTTACGAGCAAGGCTTATACCCATACCATTTACAAAGAGTTTCTACACCCGGAAGATTATACTAAACGTATGGAATTTTGTCGGTGGATAACTAACAATCGTAGAGTTGTATCGCGCATACTTTTTACTGATGAAGCAAATACCCGTGACGGCAGCTATAGTCGAAACCAATTTTCAGCACAGGTTTTCAGTAAATGTGTGGTGTGCTATGATTGCTGGGTATTTGATTGGCCATTTTATCATGGAGAATCGCCTCACAGGGGGACGCTACCTTAATGGTTATAAATATAGTTGCCAGGATTGCTAGAGAATGTTCCTGTAAACGTATAAAAGTGAATTTACTATCAGCATGATGGAGCCCCTGCAAATTTCGCTTGTGAGGTCAAGCAACACTTAGATTAAATGTTTCCAGAGCGTTGGAATGGTCGCGGAGGTCCAATTAGTTGGCCTCCAAGAAGTCCAGATCTAACACCACTAGATTTTTGTTTATGGGTATGGTTTAAAACAGAAGTTTACAAAGTTAAAGTGAATAATCTAGAGGCACTAATTCAACAAATAATTAATACTGGCGCATTTCTTAAAGAAAAACAAGAGTTATTAGGACAAGTGACAGGCGCTGTTCACTGACGTAGAAGAGCATGTTTAGAACTCAATGGGTGTATTTTTGAACACCTTATAAAAGTCACAAATATTAAACAAATGTTACCGTTTCATTTTATTTTTTTTAATTACGCGCTATAACTTGAAAACAAATGAGAATCGAATAAGAACATTTGAGTTTTTTTTTATTATTATGATGTGTAGAATGCAATCCTAGAGTTCGGTGCTATCCTTCCGATTCACCCTGTATATTATATATATTAAAACAGTGACAGTTAAAAACTAAAATTTAGGGGCACCACGCCCACATCTGAACGTTCGCATTTGTTTGCAGATAACATTTTCCTTTGATCTTTAAAAAAACCGACATCCGATAGAGCGCAATCGTTCGCATTCATACACATTTTCTTTGTCCTACCTTGCCTTGTATCGCCGCGTTTTATCTCCTACACCCAGGGTTGGAAAAAACCTAAGAGTAGGAAAAATAAATTGTAGGTTTTAAGGTTTTTTTAGGTTTTTTATGGTTTTTTAATGTTTTTAAGTTTTTAAGATGGTATTTTGGACGATTAAAAATTGCTGATTTGTAACGTTAATTAGTAGTACTGAACATATTAATATATTATTATTATAATATTTATTTAAAAATAAAAATGGATCAACATAATCATAAAATATTGTTCAATGGAACTTTAAATTCTCTCTCAGTGACTGAGACTCAGTCAGTCAGTGATCATATGATGTCAGTCATCAGTCAGTGATCATATTATCAGATATCTGATCAATATTCTAATAAACATGTTTTACAAAACAAAGATAATATAATCTATTATCTTTGTTTTAAAACATGTTAACCTCAAAAAAGCGATTTTTGTCACTTGAAGATAAAAACCTAAAAAACCTAAAATAAGGTTATTTGAATGAGTGGGTTTGTTTAAAAAACCTAAAAAAAAACTAGGTTCTAAAAAACTGTACCTGCCAACCCTTTCAAGTCTAAAACATAATACACTCACTAATTCTTCCTTAAAAAATAAACACTCAATTTTACAATCCCATTCTTTTTCAATAACAGATGTCAAGCCATTAAATTGTATAATTTGTAATAA